CACACTCATCTAAAGTGGCCAAGTTTGGACAACACTGGTGTACATTCTAAGTGGGCTTACTCTAGGTTTTTAAAATACCAAAAAGAATCCTTCCAACTTCCAACAGAAAACTCAGGGTCAGGGAAAATGCCACCTCTGCTCACATTCATGACACAGACATCATCCTTGGCATCATCCAACCCACTTCAGGGATCAGCTTCCCAAAAATTGTTAATTGTCAACTGAGGTCAGCAAAAAACCGGCATAAAAGGAAAGTATAACATCTGAAAAGGTCTATTCCACCAAAACTGAATCCCCAACTGATCACATTGATATTCAACTCCCTACTTCTCTAGCAACCTACAATTAAAAAAAACATGGGAGTTGGTTGCCCAGTAGATACTTCAGAGTCTTTACTCCCAAAACAAAATACAACTGGGAACAAACATTAAATGAAACCCCTTTGAATAACCTGATACTGGAAAAATACATACTATATTGCTATTTTTACACCTTCTTCACTTTGCACAGCAGTTTGTTACATCTTTAATCTAAAAAAGAAAACTGTTCTATATATAACTACAATTATGTCAGATAATTGATATTACAAATTCTTATGACATTTTTTTAAAAAATCAAACTGCTTAAACCAATTTATATTAACATTTTCTGATAACTGAGTATTAAGCCTTTGTAAAAGTTATTAACATGTACCTATTTCTGTCTCCTCCTCAATACGTTTCAGATAGATTAATTTAGCATCATCAAGGTCTCTCTCGAACATTTTGATGAGAAAATTATATTTATCATAGGCATCTACTGCTATCATTGGTCGTTCCAGGAGGCTTCCAAATATGTCTATCAGCTACCACACAGAAAAAAGGAAAGAAACTCTGATTTCACCTACATGGCCTGTAATCATCCATTTACAACAGCAATCCTTGTCATTGCTCACATATTTCCTTCAGTGAACTAGCTATCAAAAATACATTCAACTGTAATTATTTCAATAGTCAACATAAATTGATAATGAAGTATTATCTACTGAAACATAAAATCTCATAAACTGGTACCTCATATGGGCATCTGTCATTATTTAAAATAACTAGGGCACATTTCCTGTGTACTGCAGTCATCCAGTATAACCAGTGACAAACCTTGAATACATGCTCCACACTAGCTGCATCATCAAAAGCTTGGCCAAAGAGAGTTCCCAACCTTCGATCCATATCTTCCATTTTATTCTTAAAGTCATACACATCATCCTCAAACTCCTAAAGGAACCAAACAGATATTTTTTATGAATAAAAGCCATTTCTAATTGAGCAGACCTTTCATCACTAGATACCCTTTACTGTATGCTTGCCCCAGAAGTCCTCTTCAGAGTCCAAAATCACTTACCATATTAGCCACATCCAGACAGTCATATGTCCGGTCTGAAAATACTTTATACATTTCTTGGAACTCTTCATGCATGCTCAGGACTTGCTGACTCAGAGATTTGCCTTTTATGCCACTAAATTCCAGTTTCTCCAGTTTCTCTATGTCCAAAACTGTCATCAGAAGATCCTACAGGCATCAACAATTCACAGTTTATATCTCTATCATTTAGGCCGGCTTTGACAACATCACATACTGATTATTCAGCCAAAAGCAAAAAAACAAACAAACTTTTTTTCAGATAATTTGTTTCTCAGCCCCAACATATCACAGTTTCCTGAACAAGATAAATTGTATTTATCAATTTATAGACAGATTCATTGACAGAGGGAGGAAGACAGTGAAAGTGATATTGCTGTTGGTGCTAATACATAACCATATTGATCAAGGACTTTTTAAAAAATTATTACTACTGGATCTTATTGTAAAACCCTCCAGAAGGGAACATCTTCTGTAACCATGATAAATTTCATGCACCAAAATAAATATATGGGACAGAAATCCTCTAATTTGTTGCCTTTCTCTGTAATGACCCTGTGTACTTTCTTGCAGTTTCTGTAGGAAACAAATACAATATAAACATAAAAATGATATTAAATAAATGCCACACATATTTTACAAGTACACTAGAACACTGCTAAGGAAGTCAAATACTCACAGAATAAAACAGGCAGGCCCAACTCTAGATATGGATTTTATATATGCTTTATTGCTTGTTTCCTTTGCCCCTAATAGTTTGATATGATAGTAGATATATTATTTCACTTTATTAGGCAGATTTGGCAAAGAAATAGGATTTCATTATATCAACTTCCTTACAAGTACATCAATGAAACATACTTGAGACTAAACATAAGTAGCACTAACAATGTTAACTCTGCAGGTCAAAATCTATGCAGTAAGTATATTAATCGTACGTGCTTGCACAGGGTGATCTGCACATAATGGGGCTTTTGTCTGTTGGCCTAAAAGGCATCAGTTGGGGGAAAGATTGTTCTCTGAGATCCCACAGTGTTCTTTCTACCTCATCATGTGGAGATTTGAATAGTGACCAAGAAACTTTGCTTCTTTTCATCTGGATCAGAAAAGGTAGTAGAAGCGCCTGGGATCTGTAATGGTCTAGATTAGCTAGGGGCCAATAAGCTAAAGTTCAAACCAGTAACCCGGAGATGCTATTTGTAAAAATGTTTTTTGTTTTGTTTTGTTTGAAAGGTAGCATACAACCAATTAAAGACAGGCTTACATTCTAATAATAAGTAACAATACAGTGGAGACCTTAATCAACTTAAGCAGAAACCCTTATTGTACAACAAATATTTTGATGTGATTTGCAGTAGTTTTTTAATGTATTCAGTTCTGGACACAAAGCTAAATAATCTCATGCCTATCTACACTGACATTTTAAATTATAGTTAACAGTGATACAATACCTTCTTTTTTCTATTTTTAATGGTCTAAGTTATTTAATCATTAGAGTGCTAGGAATTTTTAGTCAATACTGTACAAATACCACTGTATCAGGATATATAATGTATGTTTTACAACAATATAATAAAAAAGTATATTATTTGTTCCTAAAAAAATATGCTTGCATCCCCCTTAAAGAATCAGGCCAGCCTGATAACATAATATCCAATATTACTGGATATTTACTGATCTAGTTATGATACAGAGGGCCAAATTGGCTTATGTGGCACAAGGAGTTTTTTACTAGCTAGACTATCAGATGCAACTTTTCTTGGGCCAAGATTGCTCAAACAATTACCTATAACTTTTTAATACCCAAACTAGATTACCTCAATGTTTTATAAGTGGGATCTGTCATGAAACATGTACTATCACAGAACATAAATTCTTACCTCTGCTTGTATCCATTTTACTACATCAACAAATGCACAAATGACAATAAATTAGTGTACTGCCTAGCAGTAAAAATTAGTAAATTACTATTAGAAAATATTAATGTAATGTTTAAAAGGAATAATGATTGCTGTGTTTTTTGCAAGGCTAATTAAAGGGGTATACAAAATGCAGCAACTTCCAATGAATATTACTTTGCATTTGGCTGGAGTTAGTACTTTGAAAAAGAGATCAAAATATTCTAGCTGAAGCTTTTTCAGAAATGGGGCTGGTACCAATAGCTGGTGTGGTAGATAGAAAGTAAGAAAGATGACCTTGACAGAGATACGCAAGCTGTGTTACCAAGGCAACAAGGGGTAAAACATGTTTGAAGTCCAGAATGTCCAGATAACTTTTAAAAGTGGCTCCCTCCCTCCTTCCTATAACCCAGTGAATCAGGGAGGCATGCTGAAAACAACCCATATCCACTCCAAAGCACCTTCTCATGCTATGTCAGCATCTCCTTAACTCCAATGCATATTTTCCTGGGATTGTGCAACTACTATAGGACCCCAGGAACAGATGCAGCTTCTTTAAGGAGCCACCAACAGCTTCCAATCAAAACTTTTGCCATTTTGATGCCTTCAAAAGGAACCCAATGAACAGTTGACCAGTGGAGGGAGGCTATCTGGTAAAGCAGCAACAGCAGGAGAGACCCAGAAATAAGCCAGCTCTCTTTCTGTGCTTCACCACATAGCCCTTTCTCATTGACTTCTATTAGTCCACCCCCTTTTGAACACAGTGCTTTTTCAGAAGAGTGCTAAACCCATATTCAAAAATGATCTAAGCAACAAGTCACCAGTGCAAGGGAGGGGCTGCAGAGTGAAGCAATGGAGAATCAGAGCTTTCTCTCCTACTTCACCATGTAAACCTCCCCAATCACGTCTTAGTTGGGCTGATCCTTCTTTTAAAGCCATGTCTCTGAGTCAGACTTCAGCTTGGGGACCTGACAAGTAAAGGGGGAAATTCTGGTTTGAACTTCCCTGCTGCTCAACCCAGAATGGCCGTGGAGGTCAGTGCCCAAAGACCTGATGGGAGGGAGCATCATTGAACCAACTTAAATGACCAACAGACAATCTGGGGGCATGCTTGTCCCACAGTCAGATGCAAGTGGGAAAGGCTCTAAATCCACAGTTTAAGCCATTAAGCAAAGGGTCAAGAAAAATGTGAGAAATGGGTTGCAGAAAAGGGTGACGCCAAAATACATTGCTTTCTGTATGGATTATTCATTGTTCTATTTCACAGCCAAGTACTTACATATACCATGTGAAGCCTCTCTAGGAAATTATTCAGTTGTGCAAAAACCATTATGGAAGGAAAATCCCATTCCTTTACTTCTTGGCCTGGCTGAAAATAATTGCTAAGATTTTCTCTTCTTTCTTCAAAGGTTTGTTTGAAATAGTCAAAAACATTAAAAGCTTTCTGGACTTTACTCAGACTTTCTTCGGCTTCCCCTTTAAGTAGATCTTCTGGGCTGAGATAATTCTTAGCCTGGTTGGACAGAATAGAGAAACAAATTAAATCCATGTAAGTTAAGTTTAGCATGGAACAATCCTTGTAAAAGATGTGTTGCTTTGTTTCGCTTCTTAAATTGACCACTCAGTTGCAAACTGATGCTGGTTTGATAATTAATAAAATAGGAAATCAGTAGAGATTAGATTTGTACACAGATGTGTTAGGCATATAACAACAAATGCATATGTTGGCTCCTTATTTACCAATCAAAAGGCACTGCATATGTGTTCCATTTCTTCCCTTTTAAGTGATTTTATTTTTGGTAAGAAAAAAAGCTGAAACATCAGTCAAAAAATAGAAGACGGCTAAAATTCCATGTGAAATTCCATGAATGAAGGAGACAGAGCGCACACTAAAAGCTTCTGCTAACAGCACCCCATGCTCTTAAACTGTCCTGTTTTAATTATCCAGTGTTGTGAACGTAAGGTGCAAAGAACCTCTCCTTTCACTTCCCATTGCAGTGTGATTGACTGCAGTAGTGAGAGATGCATCCACCACTGATGTCGGGTGCTGAATAGGGGACCTAAACTTTTTGCAGCTCTTCTTGATGTGACCACGTTTATTGAGATTACACCAGATGTGGCAAGAATCAACTAATGTGCTGGCAAAACAAGTTTATCCTGGAAAGATTCCGTAGACATCCTCACAAGAAAGGCTACATTCATCCTGTGAACACGTGGAATGTCAGATTATTTAATTATTTTGCAGAATTAGAACCACTTCAGGCCTACCTGCTGAATAAGAAGACTGCAGATTTCTTGAAGAAGCACAATTATTCTAGCAGGTGCACAGTAGTATTTGGAAGTGCCCCATATTAAGCACACTATATGAAGCATATGATTTAATAACGGCTTCACCTCATTAAATTCCACATTTTCTATTTCTTCTAGCGGGCGCTGGAGAGGCTTTAGGTACATATTTATATCCTGGGCTTCAATCAAAGCTGTGATTTTTGAAAACAAAGAACACGCTTTTTAAGAAGAAATACTTTGTATGTTACTTAGATGACAACATAAAAATAAACTTCCTTGGAAATAAATCATTTCATATTCAAAGGTATTTATTCCCAAATATCTGTATTGTGAATTAGAATGCCAACAAATTTATCTTGGCTTTATGTTGCATGAAGTTGCACAAAACATGAGATATGAAAATTAATGGGATCTGTTCTTAAAAGTGCTGAGAAAAAGAAAGGCAAAGAAAACGCAGCACCCAAAAGTAACAGCATGTAACTCAATTTCCTGCAGAGAGATAAGTATGTTGTGGGATTCAGCAATTCCTTACAGACTCTTTAAAGATTTCTTTTTAATGGATGAATGGTACAGTAGATATAAGCAGCTTTAAATTCTAGTATATTGAGCAACTCCAAAAAAAACCCTCCTATACATTACGATTGTGAGTATTCTTTCCACATGTTATTTAGCTGCAAAAACAGGGATTAGTTTCAAACAAACCCTCAAGTTACTTAACATGATTTCAGTGAACTGGATTTATAAGGATTTGGCTTCTGTATTTTTTTTTAATGATTAGACTGTAGGGGCCAGTAGGGAGCCCAGTACTTCTTGTGCTCTAAACTAGCCTGATGATACTTGTTCCTTTTATTATTATTTCATTTATAAATTTTAAATGGACAAGAATGAAATCAAGCACTTGCTTCCATCCTACCTATCATCTTTATTCCACTGAACACTTCTAGGTGCCATGTGGGAGACCAGAGTCTAAGCCTCCCAGCTGCCCAGATTTAAAAAAAGAAAAGGTTTTAATTTCGTTTGAGACTTATTTAGGGTCAAAGACTAGCCATTAAGGAAGAATACACATATCAAAGACCAAAATGATGAGAACATAAAACGGTAAAAGTTCACAAGGGTATAAATAGACTATTTAATTTTATTCTTGGCATGGATGAGATAAACATATATACTTATTGAATATTTAGAGTATTACCATTAATCATCTGTTACAATGGCAATTTCACAAAACCTAGTTGCTTTGTTAGATACTTCTATAGACAGATTGACCAAAAGAAGATGAGTTTTCTCCACATTAGACCAGCCAGAACAATTCAGCAGCAAAGGTGTTATTAAGCCATTGTGCCAAGCTATATAAAATAGGCAATGCAATAAAACATAAAAGATTCAATATTCCTCAGCTAGCATGGACATAATTATGCTTGTGTTAGGATACTGTTAAATCTCCCTTTTACTAGTTTAGATGACAAACTATTAAATCTCACCAGAGAGAAGCTCTCCAATGCAGCACACATGAGATGAATGAATGGTATTTCACACAGTCCACTCCCAAAGTGCTGTCCCAAGTCTAGATCTTAAAAATTTAGATTGGACTGCCTCCATAGGTCCAAGGTGTTTGTTAGAACAAATCTGGGGACCATGAATGCTAATCATTTTGAGTTTAACAGTGGTTAGGGCAGTGGGCCTCTACTATCTGTGAAATATAGAATTGTATTAACCAACCTTTAGCTTTTAATTATTCCCTCCAGGCAAAGAGGATTAAAAATAATTCCCAAATACTTAAATACTTTATGGTATTACATAGCAGTAATCATCAACCTTTCAGTGCCCAGTTTTTTAAAAAATATTTTTTCATTTGCAATAATTTTACTGCCTACTTACATATATTGTTATTGTCATTAAATTTTTACATTCTAATACTATTAATATTTTTTTTACTTTTAAACTCAAATACAAATGGAACATCCAATTTCATTCAAACAAAATGTATTTATTATTCATAAAAATATATGCATAAAATTATGTCATTATATTAAAATGTTTCTTATTTGTGTTTCATTTTTAATGCAATATTTGTCTTGGTGCCCTCTATCTAAGGTTCAGAGTTTAAGCTGATATGGTCAGATAAAAAGCTTGTCTTTCTATTACATCCAAACAATTTCCTTCTTTTCTGGGAAGAGACTGTCTGCATTCAAACCTGATTTGACTAGACACAAAATTGGGGAAGCTAATAGTATAAATAAACATTGGCTTTACAATTATGGACAGAGGGCATCTTCTGTATTCTCCAGAGTTGTAATTTTCTGTGTTGTTTAAAATTGGCTTTACATTTATTATCATGATACAATCTAATGTTTCATCCATACATATCATTTTGAATGGATTCATCATTCACACATCAGTATTCAATTTGTTAGCTCACTGTATGAAGTCATTATGTTAACTCTCAGAATATATAAGGGCTCTTAAGAAGATGTTATCTGAGAACTATACAGTGAATATGAGAAAAACATCTAGAGCTTCCTTCTTCAAAAATGACATAAATCCATCATATTTTCCTACCATAACTGGAGCTCCGCCAGATGTACAAGCAATAGGATTTGTCAGTGAAATATGGGCCTTTTCAAAGTAGGCTTTTAATGTAGTAAAAAATGGTTCTCTTTTTGTATCAGCTATAAGATTTTTTTGCAAACAATGTCTCTTCTTCAGGATGAAGTTTTCATCAATATATCATACATAGATCATTAATAAAACTTTGCTGTCCATACTTTGGATTTGTCCAACTGCACAGAGAATTTCTGTGTTTTCAGTAGCCTTGGAATCTGATCATTACCCATTTCATCAATGCACCTTTGTACAGCTATGTCACTAATTAGTATGGATCTCAGCTGGAGTTGAATGCATTATTGTAGAAATAACTTCCCACAAAACCGGCATTATCAATGTTTCCCCTACAGTTGTGGTTTACCACACTTAAGCAATACATTCTAAAATATGGGAAGATGCAATAAGTTCATCTTTGGCCTTATCAGAACATTTTTAGTATTGTGGGGACATTTATTAAATAATTCACAAAGGCTTTTGAAGCATTCCAAGTCTATATTCTTTTTGCCCAAGGGTAAAGAGGTGAAAGGCAAATGAAGCTCATCACAAAGATAAGATGGTTTCATAGTTTAATGTGAAAATGTTTGTTGACAGAGTAAACACATCAGAATACTTTTGTTAGTAGAGGACTAAATAAATCCATAATGAAGACGGTACTTATTTGGAAGCATGTTTCAAAATAAGGGACAGCTGCATAGAAAACACTTTCTCATAATGATCACAGTACATTAATAGATGCACAAGAATTAAATTGACCAATCAATTCCAACTGTCACATCAGCCAATAGCAATAGTTGTGACACATCGGGGAAACATCAGTTCTGAAGTTACTGAAGTTGCCGCTGGATCAATAACCTGCTTATCAGCCAGCAGTCACAGATGATATTGAATGCAATGCACCAAATATAAACAAAATGACAGCATCTTCTTACACAGACAAAAACAAGAAAAAACACATTATAAAAAAATTATAGCCTGATGAACCTAAGTCATTATTTCCTTCATTTTTATAACACCCACTGGTGGGTGTTATTCAGATTGAAGTATTACTCTATAATGATGTTATTTATTTTCCAGCAATGATTGCTGCTGAATACCCTTTGGGTTCAGACTACTTTTGTCTTGGAATATGTAATGTGAGTCCCTTCTCTCCACTATATGCGCTTAAAGACTCCACCTCAAACCCACTCACATTATGGAGAAGACAGCTGCATCATCATCTTAGAGAACTGGACTAGATTTAGTAGCCAACGTGGGAAGATAAACTCCATCAATCCAAGACTTGCGTTATGGAATTAATATGGAAATCTTACAAGAGCAAGAACAATCATGCTTCATTCCTTTTTGGACCGGAATCATTACAGAGAGCCATCCTGGGACACTTTAAATTTGCACTGAAGTGTTTTCATGAAGTTTTAGAATCAGAAGTAAGGGTGTTTGATTTATGGACAAACTGCTTCATCCAAAACCTATCTCTGGGAATTAACTCAAATGCAGCCTTTAAATTGATAAAGGTGACGTATGTTGCTCTTCTTGGTAGCTAGTGTATTTTTCCACTAAATGATTTTTATATTAATTACATATAACTGTATGCAATGGTCAAATGCAGAATGTGTTGGTCAAAATCCAAACAATATCTAAGAAAAAAATTACCCTGAATCAGCCACTCAGTCAGTTTCCAATACAAATAATATGCTAACTATAGTTATAAAACTAATTAGGTACTATTAGCCAAATGAGATTTAGCTCCATCTTAAAGACTAGAATTGTTATTGACCAGGACCTAATCCTTGGGGATCTGGCAAGCATGGTCAATACAACTAAATAAGGAGACCAAAAGAAGGATTTATCTTTAACCATTCCGCTGGAATCATCTACTCTATTGCTTTATCACTTTCAGAGGATGGATTTACGGATCCTGATTTGGAAGGTAACTTAAAGACAACTCAGAAAAGACTAACTCACTTAACCAACCATTGAAAAATACATAGAAATGCTCAGTCCAAACTTCAGTTAAATCAATACTGAGGGTCCAAATGAGTCTTGTGGGAAAGAATGAGCTACCAAGAGCCAAAAAGCCAAGGACCTTTTACTCTTAATCATCTGGGCTACCTTATGCTAATTGTTTAATTAGGCCTCTTATTTTTTCCTCTTTACAATGGAGTTATAGGATTTTTTAAAAAGCTGTGCTAATTCCAGTAGATGGTGATCAATATTAGGTCTATTGGCCCTACAAACTTCAACTAATTTAACTCTGGCTAAGGTGCATTCAGGATCAGAGTTTGCGGTTGGACCTTAATCTGAAATTCTTCATCAGCACATATCCTAAATCCTAAAAATTAACTGTTGAAAGATACGTAAAACTTGTAGAACATGATTTTCAGCACAGATAGCCCAATGTATCTGTAAAAAATCTAAGAGAGTGTAAGGCTTCTCTTTTCAGATCTCTAAACCATATAATTGAATAGTCCTTAAACACCAATATTTGGGATGGATGGTTACTATATCTTGTAGCAAACCTAAATATTATCACCTAATTTCACAGTTAGTAGGAAATGGTCACTGTTGGGATGAATGTGAATTTAAAAAGGATAGGTTGCATTTTATTGCTACATCTGAGTATGGGATGTTTTGGGATGGCAGCTAGGAAATTAATGGAAAGTTCAGGGATATGTGATGTATGCAGGAAGAGTTGATGACAATGGAATGGAATTAGAAAACAATGAATCTTTGCGTGCTTGAGGAACATAAGGAACATAATTTTGAACAAGAGGGAATTGTGGGTTCAAAGAAATGGGTTTGTCTTTCAAAACTCAGGCTCCTGTATTCAAATTCTTCGGAAAGTTACTCATATTTTAGCCACACCAATTTATTGTGAAATATTTTGTGGTTAACTGCAACCACCAAGACAATTGTTTTGTCAATGTATATATACATTGTATACATACAGCAATTTTGTGATGAAGTGCATGACTCTTTCTAAAAATTCCAAATGTGCCTAATAATCTGAAAAATCATAATCTTCATTAATTGAGGGATTAATCATTGAGATTTAATGCCATGCATCACTCTCTCTAGAAAGCATGAAAGAAGACTCTTATGTTAACATTTTATATGAGAAAAGAAGTAAAGCTTCCAACTGTGTAGAAGTTGACCAAGTAATTACAATAATCTATGTTTAATCATAGTATTCCAAATGTTCAAAGTCTCACCTGCTTCTACATCACTGAAGATGGATTTGAATGCTGGGAAGTAGGTGCTCTGCACCTTATCTAGTAGCTCTAACATAGTCAAAATTCTTCTGGCTTTTAGTTGGCCGTAAATATACTGTAGATCCTCATACCTACAACATATAATGAAGAAGCTATGAGCAAATTTATTCAACTAATTAAGCAACATGCTGTCTTGCAGCAAGCAGTCTTATGATCTTCCCAGGACAAATGAATTTAACATAGAAAGTTTATTCTTTATGTCAACCAGAAAGTAAGAAACTGTACAACTAAGTTTTTCTTGGGTAAACAGATGTTTCTACTTCCCAGCTTCTTCCTCTACATCAGTCGGAAGCTAGGACAAACTAATGACCTGGTTCTGTAAACCACATAGCAGTAGTACTTACTACTCCATCCACACTTCCATTGTAGAATGAGTTTAACAACATACAGTACCTATTTTTCCAAAACTCCAACTCCATTTTTGGATGGGGATCTTTGCCTTGCAAAAGCAGTTCTGAAGACTCTCTTTTAAGAACATTCTGGATCTGGTGGGTCCATTCAATAACAGAAGACTCAATTGCATGAATTATAGACTTATCTACCAATTCAGTGCTGCAGAAAACAAAAGTATCAACAGGTGAGGTTTGTTTCTCTTTTGGAAGTAGTTACCTAGAAAGCAAGTATAAAGTAAAAATATAAATTCCTACTTTCAATGAAACAATAGGAAATTTGTCACAAACCAGTTTTACATTCCAGGTTTCTTTTTACTGGTTCACATTATTTGTACAGCATGTGTACCTTACATTTCCATGCTTCTGTTTCTACTCACTCAACAATTCATAGCTTAAAGCCAAAAATGAAAAGCTTTTAATTCATGCAGTATCTTAAAAATGACCACTTAAGTCAATAATTAAAGTATTAGAACTTACCTTTTCTCATTGTCAGAGTCAATGCATCTGTCTCTCTCAGGCTCAATAGGAAGAGACAACAAGGTTTTTCCTCTAATTTGGCCAACCATCACAAAAACACTCCTTTTCAGAGAGCAGATATGATGAATGATATCTTGGGACACTACATTGGGCCAACTGTGATGGTTTCTTTGGTTCACCAAGAGAGGCACCATTACCTGGAAGCATTCAGATATACTCAGTTATGAAACTGATATAGGAGAAAATACATTGTCAAAGTTTCTGGTTTCCTGATTTTCACATGATCCACAAACTACATCTAGCAGGTGGACCGATTAACCATTTAGAGATTTCTGTACTAACCCTCCCTGAGTTTCTACTCAGAACAGACATATGGAAATAATTAGAAGCAAATAATCCCTATGAAACATTGCATAAATAAGGCATTCATCTATTAGCCCCAAGAGACTAGATATTCCTCTTTGGCCATCTTGTCTGGAAAGTATGGGAATTCAAACCAAATATGTCTGGAGGCCCTCAAGATGTGGAAAGATTAATTTCAAGTAAGAGATTATGCATAGTTATTGTTTATAACCTAACAATACAAACAAGGCTACTGTGAGAAGCAGGTGGTATATATTTCTTGCAAAAATACCCCAAAATATACTGCCATCAGGTAAGAAGCACTTTTAATCCTTTATTAAATTGGTTTAACAATATTTATAAACCACCTGAGTTCATAAGGACTCTGGGCACTGTACAGTAGTGGAATAGACAATTTTTAAAAACACAATTTAAAAATTAATAACATAAACCTTTCAAGGGCAAAGGACCCTCAAGAGGTGCTCCCTAAATGCCTAAACTTGGACAGGCAGATTCTATTCTAGCAAGCTTGATAAGCTCATACTGTGCCATAAAGGGCTTTAAAATTACTCTGAATTGGATGTGGAAGTCCAGGAAGAGTCCCAACACACAAATCAACTTTTTCAGGAAAGTACTACTCACTCAAGAGTGATTAACAGGACTAATGTTATTAGACTACCCAGTACTGGCAAACAGTAACTTCATCTTTAATCTATATTTGTTTTGCCCCATCCAGATCTTTATAGCCTGTAGCCATTGGTTCAGGGCTTCCACAGTATCTCTGGTTCTGCCTGGAGTGGCGGTGTATAACTGGATATCATCTGCATATTGATGACATCTTGCCCTGAACCAATAGATTATTTTTCTCAGCAGTTTTACATAGATGTTAAATAAGATGGGGGAGAGAATCAAGCCCTGGGGAACCCCACACTGATTCCCTCAGGGGTTCAATCACTGACCCTTCATGGCCACCAACTGTAACCACCCTTTCAAGTAGGAGCAGCTCCACTGCAGGATAGTGCTCCCAGCTCCCAATTCTTGCAAGTGGTCCAGAAGGATACCACTGTCAATAGTACTGAATGCTGCTGAGAAGTCTAGGACAACCAAGAAGGGCACATTCCCCCATCTAGGTCAAAATGCAGGATATCTACCAAAATGATCAATACCATCTATCCCATTAAGGGCCTGAAACCTGACTGAAAATAATCCCAATAATCTTTTTACTCTAGGATCTTCTGTAGCTATTTGCCACCACCTTCTCTACACCCAACCGTAAATGGGAAGATGGGAGATTTGATGGAGACTTTTAAACATGGCCAGATACCAGGACAGCTTCTTCAAGACAGGCCACACCACCACCTCCTTCGAAGCAGATGGCATCACATCCTTCCTGACTCCTTTGGATGACCGACTGGATCTAAGAGATTGTCAAAGCCCAGTGAAGCATTGGCAAAATCTCAGATCCAGCTCCTCTTCCAAAGGAGCCAGGGAGGGAATGTATCAAGCCTACAGGTGAGGAGCCTTTTCACTTCATTAGGCTCAACAGTAAAAAAAAAATAAATCCCAGATTATCACCATGACATTGCCTGACTCATCACTATAGACTTTGTCCAATTGTATTCAGACCAGAGAAAATACTTGCAATATTATCCACTCAAAAACTGCAAACTCATCCCCTGTGCCTAAAGGAGCCTCTCAATATTTTGATGTATTAATCCTTATTTCAATAATTCAAGTTGCTGAACAAGAAAGTGCCAGTCTGAATTTTAAATTTATTAATTAAATTTATGTATTAAACATTTATATGGCTGCCCATCTAACCAATGGAACCTGAGTGGTAAACAAAGATAAAAACATAATCCATAATCCAGATCAATTAAAAAACCAAGGCAGGCAAAAACCATTAGGTGTAGGCAGCCCTGCAGTAACTTGGCCCCATATCATGTAGGGCTTTAAAAGTGACAGCCAACACCTTAAATTGTACCCAGAAGTCTACTGGCTGCCAGTGCAGCTCAAGTGGTAATAGTGTTACATGGGCATACCATGATGAGCCCAATACCGCATGTGCTACTGCATACTGGACCAGCTGAAGCTTCCGAATCTCTTCAAGGGCAGCTCCGTGCACAGCATATTAAAATAGTCCAGTCGAGAGGTGATTAGAGCATGAGTAGCCCTGAGCGGTGCCCCTTGATCTGGGGACAGGCATTACTAGCCACAGGCACTCCTGGCCACAGCCCCTGCCTACAACTCAAGCAGAAGCCGTAAGGCCAGGTGAACCCCCAGACTGCATCCAACTATGCCTGGGGACTGTCAGGAAAGGTTGGAGATCAGCTGAAAACTGCCCAGTACTGCTGGTCCAGTGATGACTTCATGAGGAGATGGACCACCACTTCCTTTAATGCATGTGGAAATATCCCCTCCCACAAGGAGGCATTCACCACGACTTGGACCCAGCTACATATCACCTTCTGGAAGGTCATGACCATGCAGGAGGAACATGGGTCTAACACACACGTGGCAGAGTCCAATACCCCAAGGATCCTGTTCACTTCCTCAGGAGTAACTGGGCCAAACACAGATCCGATAGCTAGATAAGAACCAGCTGCAGTCACCAGCCCAGACAACCAGCGCAGCCAGAATATAACTCCAAATAGATGAGAGCAACATTATCTGACAAATAAAGCATAATCCTCAAAAAAGCCCTGCAAAGGTTCCCACAATCCCTCCTTACCCAAAAAGGACTGAGTCATCCATTACAGGGTTGTTGGGCAGCTACTGTATCTATGGATCCAATAAGGGCTGAGAAATGTGCATTTTGCCGCCCTTATCATCACAGGATAATCCTTGATAAAGGCTCTTACCTGTGCTCACTTGGACTTGCCCTTTGACTTTCTCCAGTAGCACTCTAGGCATTTCTTATGCCACTTCATCTTTTGAAGTTCTTCTGAAAACCAGGAGGCTCTCTGGGATCCACATGCATAAAGAATCTGGACAGGCACGACTGATTCAAGGGCACTGTTGCTTGCTCTTTCCAAGCAGCGATTAAGGCCTTGGTCAAACATGCATCAGAATTCCAGGAACTACCCCAAGTTCCCTCTGGAACCCCCCTGGGTCCACCTGGCCCCTGAGGGGGGCCAACTGAATTGGTCCCTCCTTCTATGGTGGGGGGCAGCCAGAAAAGCTCCAAGGCTATCAGGGAGTGATGCATTCAGGGCAAAGGACAGATGACAACATGCCACACTGCCCTGTGATAACAACCAGATCTACTCTGTGACCCCCATGGTGAGTCAGGCTGTTAATAACCTGGATCAAATCCATGGTTGTCATGCTGACCACAGATTCCTAAACTGCCTCTGACTTTGGGCCAACAAAAACAGGTTGAAATCCCCAAGAAGTATAAACCTGGGGAACTCTATCACCAACCTAGCCATGGAGTCAAGCAGGTCCAGCTAGAGAAACTGCTGAGTAGTAGGAAGGCTGGTACACATGGAGCAATACCATCTGATCCCCATGGCCCAGGGATAAGGCCTCAAATCTGCAGAACAACACCTTGGAAGCCACCAGGATGACAGTGGCTACAGCCCACTCCTGCCCCAGAGTCTCAGCTGATGCCACACCCAAACCCAGGTGGGCAAATTTCTGAGAGGGGACTCCTGCCCCCATATCCAGCCAGGTTTCAGGAATGTATGTCAGGTCAGCCTGTATTACAGACTGGCATTCATCAGTAGTGGATGAAACCTGGGGCCACCAAAGCTCCATTGATCAGGTCTTGGGGTTGATTGTTTTCTAAAAATAATAATTCAGCTTCACCTTCATATCGGATGCACTGGGACTAAAAACAAGTATGCAAATATAAATTTGATTCACCTGCCCCCAGAATTAATGTTAGATAATGGTTTACTTTAATTTTGCCTCTATTCATATTAATATATGCAAATATATGATTCCAATATCTGCTATTCTCCACCCATACAGAAGACAGTGAAATGTAAACATAGAACAGAGGAAAAACAATAAGTTGTAAAGATAACATACAGACATATGAAGTCAACAGAATAATAATACTTAGGAATGCAGGAAATTTAAAGGACTTATGAGGATACATCTACTCAGAAATAAGTCCAACTATTACTCCACAATGATAAATGTGCATAGGTCCACAGTAATGAAATGATAACCCATCAAACTAAGCAAAACTATGCTATAGGGCTATGAAGCACTTTGGAGTGAGTGAGAGTACTTGGTAGCAGTTGGTCAGCAACTCATTAAAACAACTGTGTCTCTTCTCAGGATCTCATAGCTGCCCTCTGTGGCTACAGTGCAATCCTCAGAAAAGAAGTTTTTTATTTGACAGGGACTACTGTATATGTGTGAGCCATGCGCGCTCCAAACCATCTTTCCTACTCTAAATCCAAAGAGCTGCAGAGCTGTACTATACAAATGCCAAGGCTTAAGAATGATCATGCAGCCCAAGGAAGCTAAAACACACTGATGGTGATCTGTGTGCAACAAGAACTCCTGCAGCAACTTTTGGAAACTTAGTTGTCCACAGTTCTCTTCTTTTGCAATTTCCACTTGACTACAAATTGAAAACAAATCAAGAACCTGAGATCCTTTTTAAATGTGACAAATTTCTCACATAAAAAGCACCGCAGATAGAAAAGCATCATGTACAGCCATTTTGTATTAGTTGCACAGGGTAAGGGAGGAAAGCACATAATCGTGCTTGCATAGATGAGCCCTTGGCCCTGTCGTCCTCTGCTTTTGTAACCGATCCATGTAGTACATCTGAGATGAAATCAACTACTGGTAAAGGAGAATTTAATAAGTTCCTCGCATATATATTTTCCTGAGCAGAGCAACTGATAAATAACCATATCATGTGAGTGCGTATTCTTGGTTCTCAGTCTTTTGATGTATTCCAAGCAAAATTGTAATGCGTGCACTCCTTAGGCTAAGACATCAAATGTTAACAGTAAACCTTGAAAAGGCTCACAACACAGTAGCATTTACTGTTAACAGATACTGTATATAGTAGCTATTATAGGAGGCCTAATAAAGTTAATTTGTCATTAGAAAATGAAATAGGGAGACCATGAAACACATTGTCACCTTGCATTAAGGCAGATTAATCATTCATTTAAAGGAAAGTACACATTACATCCATCAGGGAGATGCCCACCAGTGCAACTACTTTCTTTCACAAATAATCAGCATAGATTGGATCAGTGGCTTGGATTAACCATTTCTGCTGCGCTCCAGGTTAATGGCTACAAGCTTCCTATTTGAGGGGGTGGGGGTCAGGCGCCAACTGCAGCAAGCTAAAGCTCAAATCAGGCTCCCTCCCTGGTTGTTTGTTAAAAACAAAAAACTTACACCAACATATAGCAACCAATACACACAGCGATGTCCAAAAGAGGAGAGAGAAGTAAAAAAAAAGACAAATTGCCGCCGTGATCATGCAACTGAAGCCCTGCCTCTTTTATACATGCACTGACAGATGTGAAAAAGACCAACGTTTCAATTGCACTGTTGTGGCCGTTATCTTGGCTTTTTTGACACACACACACTGGATGGCCCTAAATATCCACTATTGTCTATTTTGACTAGCAGTGCTCCATAAGGTTAGACAGAGATCTTTCCCACCAGCAGAGATTGTTTGACTCAGAGATGGGCACCTGCTGATCTGTGTTAGCAGCCTAATTTCAAAAGTCCTTTGCGGACAAGCCATACAATCCCCTATGAAAAATAATCTGTCTCTTTCCTGGCAGCTGAAAATGGGTTGTTTTACCCACTACTGGCATGTCACACAGCCCCCAGCAGAATATACCTGTAGGAATTCAGCCCTTAACACAAAAAAAGATTTTCCTCTCCTGACTTAACAGGCAACTTCAGGAACTGAATATAGCTCCTCCCAACAAATTTGGATGGGTGCCTGGCCTTGCTCTGCATTTCCTTGTTTTGTGATCTGAAGATATGCATTCTTCTTCATCAGCAACCCTTTGCAAAACAAACGAATCCCCATTCCCCTCTCCCCCTTTTCTTTCTCTAAGATACAGAACTGTGGTCAGTCACCATTTACAGCCAGCCAGTTAACTAAACCTATTGATAATATCAGTTTTTCCTACACCGTTAAGATACAGAAGCTCAAGTTCAAATGGTACTTATCATCAACATAAAAGAGCAGTTTTATAATATTGTTGTTGTTGTTTTCCATACTGTAACTTAGCAGGTAAAACAGGATCTGAACAGTTTAGCAAATTGCTAAAGTGATTGGAAAGCATATGGATGCTCTGCTGATACGGAACAGGGAACACTCATACTGAAACTGGCACAAATCCAGGCACTAAAAGATGCTCTAGGAAGTGAAATCAAGTCTTTTCTCCCCCAGCATATGAAAAGGTAATGTTAGAGATGAAACCCAATAAGGACCAAAATCTTGATGTTGGCCATAGTCATGTAACATTAAATGTTAAATATCCCCAGACATCTTCTATATAGGATAAAATTAAACATGTATATTGTTATTGTCTTCAACAAATGTCTAAATGTAGTCACAGTGGATTTTAGCTACATGATGCCAGGTATATCGTTCTAATTAAAATGTTAATCAATTTTCAAAGACATGCTCTATGGCATGGTATAGAGGTTTGTGTTTGTGCATGATTATGATGATCCTGGGCACAGTTACCTGACAATAACATCCACTAACCTCAGAGGTAGTGTTTATTTTTTACAAATAGGCTAGATTTGTAAACTCATGGCGCGTTAGCAAAAAGATCTTGCAGTCAGTAGAAATACAACTCTTCTTTTGATTTTAATTAGAAACGCAAACTTGTCATTTAAATGGCAATTAAATAAAAATCCCATCAAATTCCAACCTTTGCCTGCTTATTTGCTTCTATGCTAATCTCCCACAAACATGAGTACAACTTAAAGCCTCATAATTACTTCATTTATCTCCCAGAACCTGGAAGGTCTATCAACTATTCTGTTTCTGAGGAAGATCCCAGTGAAAAGACCCTCCAGGATTCTGTTGCCATCATGCATTGCCCCTTCAGTACACCAATGCTAAAAAGTCATAGAAAATTTATCAGCCTCAGTGTATGAAGCCTTTTTTAACTGCATCAGTGAACTTCAGCAGCATAATCTCCAGAAACTGACAAGCCAGTCTCTTAATATTTGGACATTAAAAAAAACAGTGAAAACTACTGAATAAGCCCTAAGCTTAACATAGAATTACAACGTTTACAAGAATAAACCTAACACTGCAGAAAACAAACAAACAACCACAAGACAAAATGAAAGAACTGGGGAAAATACAGATAACTGCAATCCCGTCCACGTGTCCTGCACATTTTGTCTCACTGCCCCGTTTACTTCGGTTCTTGCCTTCCCCACCTTACCCCACCCCCTGCCAAATGCTAAGTGTGGACAGAAGGCTGCTCAGCATCCCTTATAACAAGTTATTGGGGGCTTTAGGGAGCTGCATGACAAAGGTGCCTTCAAAGAAGCAGTGGGAGTTAAGCAAGGTAAGGCTGCCTGCCCATCTGTCACGCAACTGTTCGCGGATTCTACCAGGAAAAAAAAAAATCGAGGCGTTTTCTGTATTTGGGCCATCTAGTGGCCGTTCGGACTCTTGCAGCCCAGATCCGGTAAGCTCTACGTTGAACCAAAACGAGTCTTCGAAAGCTGGCAAGACGCTCAGAGCCCCCCGAGCTGCCTACCTCTTCCACGAGAGTGGCGAGGTGGTCAAGGGTGGCTGCCGACAGGTCTCCACATAGCAGTTGCCCAGGGGCGGGAGGGGAGCGCAAGGGCCCAGATGCGAGGCGCAGCAGGAAAACCCCTTTCGAAGAGCGACCAGCGGTCGGCGGCAGAGCGAGCCCCTCGGCCAGCGCCAGCTGCCCCGCTACGCCCTGCGTGACAAACAGCAGCCGCCCGGCTGGATCGGCATCGAGAAAGGCGCGCAGCAGCCGCTGCGCTTCGGGGGGGCCCAGGCAACGCGCCCAGCGCTCCGCCCCCCCTCGC